GAAGGAACACATACTGCACATGCCTTGTCCCAAGCAGAGAACATAGAACAGAATCAGGGCAGGCCGTTTGGCCAGCTGTTACAGGGCCTGAGTGCTTCGGAGTGAGTGCTTAGAGAGGTTGTGTAAGGCCTAGAAGCACTAGCCGGTAGATCTACACAGAATGGTTCCCTAGTGGCTGAAAAGAATTATTGAGGCTTTCTAAAGTGACTCATTCCCTCCCCCGAGTCATCTGGGCTCAGGGAAAACCTGTCTTGCTGATTATTAGTGATTTAATGGTGGTGGTGATGGACTTCTGATAACTCAGAGATCCGCTTTAGCATTACTGGCAAAGGTCTGTGGTCTGGAAGTCAAAGGTCACCAAGCTTGTGTGAATGTGTCTGTTGTGTGTCTGCTTCTGGTCTCTGTGTGTGTGTGTGTGTGTGTGTGTGTGTGTGTGTGTGTGTGTGTGTGTCTGCGTGCGCACGCACTAGGAAGGGACACACAAAGTCCACTTCTCTGACCCTGAGTCTCAGCTCTGCCTTCACTAGGGACAAACCACACTCTGGAAGGACAGCCCAGTGGATAGTGTTTGTTTCTGATCCCCTAAAAGCCATGTAAAAAGCTGAGTGGGAAGCTGAGTGGGTAAGACAGCCAGCCTGCCTTGGCTGCACAGGGGAAAGGACAGAAGCTGGCCAGCCAGACTCACTCACTGCTTTTGCACCAGATTCCAGAGAGGCTCTGCCTGGGCATAGAAGATGGAGAGTGGAGAATGACGGAAGACCACAAACACTGGCCACAACACATACAAGCACATGCGGACATGTACACACGCGAGCACAAATACACATGCACAGCCATGCATGCATTAAAAAAGACAGAGAGGTCACCTGAGTCTCACCAGCTTTGCCTCTGAAAACCAAGGCAACATCTCTCTAGGCAATGGGGACCGCAGATTGCCACTTGTGCTTTTTCAAAAGTGACAAGTGGCAGAGATGCCATTGTTTAGGGTGGAGAATGAAAACCAAGCCAGTTGAGGTATTTGTGGCTCCTACATCCTTCATTTCCAATTGTGCTTTCTATGACTCACTGTCATCTTTCCGTGTGGATTCCTAGAATGATACTTTGAAAACTAATTCCCTTTCCACATACACCTCACAGACATGAAGCCAACTCAAAACTACCCACTCGCCCTTCTGTTCCCCTACATAAGACCTGTCTTCTCTCCTTTTGACACAGTAGGAAGTGTAACTTGTCCTGTGCATGTGATCAAGGGGTCATTTGCAAAATTGCCTCATTATCCTATTATTTTCCAGGAGCTTTCTGTCCTGAGGTGGTAGGGGTGCAAGCAATCTGTCCCCTAAGTGTATCGCTTGATGGGCAATTTGCTGTGACATTAACAAGAAGACAAATCTTTCTGAACGAGACCTAAAAGTACCAACTTCATCAAAAAGAAAAGAAAGAAGATTTAAGACTACGGGCTTTAAGGAAGTCTTTCTAGCCCATGCCAGGAAGAAGCCTTTTTGAGATGGAGGTGACAGGGAGGTGACAGCCAGTGGACAGACCACAAAACCTTCCCTGGAGCAATACTTCTTGAACTTCGGGTCATGCATTGATTAGTGGGTCATGAAATCAATTTAGTGGGTCATGACCACAGAATAAAAAACAAAAGAAGTATAAAATAAGTGAGACTAAAGCAGAATAGAAAGTTCTAGAGTGAGTGTATGAAACGTAGGTCACAGAATATCATTCGAAACCTTGATTTAGGGATGAGTAGAGAGTGTGTGTGTGTGTGTGAGAGAGAGAGAGAGAGAGAGAGAGAGAGAGAGAGAGAGGGGGAGGGGGAGAGAGAGAGAGAGAGAGAGAGAGAGAGAGAGAGAGAGAGAGAGAGAGAGAGAGAGAGAGAGAGAGAGAGAGGAGGGGGGTGGTATACCTTGCACCAATGCATAATGTACTTCTTACTGCGGTTCATACTTCAAAACTTTCAAAACTATATCCCCCTGGAGGTGTCGTCTCAGTGCTGGTTTCAAAGAACTTGCTCAGGCTTTTTGATGTAGTAAATTTATACAAAAGCAGAAAGAAATTCTCACAGCTCTGCTTAAGCGGTCCTCAGGTTACCGAGTTCTACTTTTTGTTCTCTGAAAAACACTTAGCTGAGTGGGTCCAGGTTTTCTGTCCCCTGGGGGATCTTCCCCCTTCATAGGTATCCCAGCATTTGCACATCTGTATTTTCCCTGTCCAACTTATTTCCTATGATGGTCTGTCAAGCACATTAAACAATAGTAAAGATGTCAATGCTCCATTCCAAACCAAGACATTGACATTTCATGCACATTTAAGCCCATGCCTTTGTACAGAATCACATTCCAGAATTTAGCTTCGAGGAAAGGACATTTGAAAACTATCTTCCCAGTATTCTTGAAGTCTAACCTGTGACTAGCCTTGTTCACTAACATTTTGTATATATACATATACATAATCATTTTTGTTTTGTTTTCTTGGGTTTTTGAGACAGGGTTTTCTGTGTATCAGCCCTAGCTGTCCTGGAACTTGCTCTATAGACCAGGCTGGGCTCAAACTCAGATCTGCCTGCCTCTACCTCCTGGTACTGGGATTAAAAGTGTGCACCACCACTGCCCTGCCCATTGTTGATTTATTTTAAGGTTCTCTTTTATTGTACTTTGTTTATTTTTATTTCATGTGCATTGGTGTTTTTGCCTGCATGTATGTCTGTATGAGGGTGTCCGCTCCCCTGGACCTGGAGCTACAGACAGTTGTGAGCTGTCATTGTGGGTGCTGGGGATTGAACCTGGGTCCTCTAACAGTGCTGAGCCCCTGTTGCTGATTTTTAAAACATACATCTCTTTGCTGTCTTTCTAAAAGAAATTTGTTGTTCTTCTTTGTTTTGTTTTGAGACAGGGTCTCATTCTGTAACCCGGGCTGGGCTAGAAGTCAATGTGTGAACTTGCTGGCCTTGAACTCATAGCAAACCTCCTGTCCTAATCTTCTGAGTGTTGGGATTACAAACATATGCTTCCACACCAGGCTGTCTTGGTTGTGGTTTGATTTTCTTTTAAGGAATTATATAGAAAAATTAAATGCAAAATTATTAGAAACTTTAGGGAGAAGTATCTTTTATCTCAATCAACTTGAATATAAAGGTCATCTTAACACAGCCAACTTGCTACCTGGCTATTTTAAGGAGTTTCTTTGAGTATTCATCCCAATACAATCATACCATCTCCTGTAACACTTCATTCATACCATTTCCCAGGGCCATATTAAATGATGTAAGATTGAACATAAGATTGTTACATAAAGGCTTTCATCCAAGCAACTTAATAATTTAGAGAAAATTCCCTTTACTGTGCCTGCAGTATGGCAGACCCGTAGTGCTGAGTGCCTTTCACACACACATTCACGTCTGTCCTTGCAGAAACTCCTCAGCACGCTAGTTCTCTGGCACTCTCCCATGGCGCAAGCAGTTTTACAGGTGAAACCATTAAGACTTTGGCAACACTGATCCCTGCCTGCACACAGCCACACGCCCAGAGAATGTCATTCAGCTCCAAGTCCATCTATCTAACTGCCCCTACTGGCTTTCCTCGTATATATCTATACATCACTTCGCCTTCCCATTGCAGCCAAAAACACTTTCATTTTTAAGTAGCTCATCTGTCCTCTCAGGGACATGGCTATGAATATAAAAGCACCCAGAAAATTAGAGTGTTTGGTTTTTGCTTTTTAAATAAAGGATACTGAATCATAGAGAGGTTCTCTAGCCTACCTACTCGGAAAGCACCTGGTCTTACCAGGCTAGCTCAATGTTTTCTGTTTGCTCTCTGCTGCCTGGTCACTTCACCTTCAGCCACCTTTCTGTGTAGCAATAAAGGACAGGAGAAGAAGGGGTCGGCAGGATGCATCATCACTGCAAGCTGGTGGCATTTTATTAACCTATTTAGATACTCGGGTAATTCTGTTTCCACATACATACATGCTGGTGCTGGAAGACTTGGAGGAAGAAAGTATTTTCCCTCAGCACACAGCTTCTTTATTCCCCACGCCTCTGTCTGCACAGCACATTTTTATAATAAGCCTTTCGCCTAGAAGTCTGCCTATCGATAGGTTATCAGAAGTCACAGACACTTATCATCACCTCACCCCACCATGACAGCAAAAGCACAAAGTTGATTTTATAATGAACCAGCTTTAGAAATCAAAGTTAGGGATTTGCTTAAATTGGGAATGGAATGATTAGTTACAAAATGTGGTTTGGTCATTGCTCAGATTCCAAACTCCTAAATAACTTTCCTGTATTAATTCAGTTTTAAGTTTCAGGAAATAAAATGATCATGTAGTTAAACACAGATCCTTATGCAAACAAGTGGTGTGTTTACAATGTACCAATCCATTTACTTAAACCACAGACATTTGCAAGGAACCCAACAGACAAGCACTCACGATTGGCTCACTCCCCATGCAATAGCAGTCAGCAACCTACTGGCATCTGCTCTGAAAACAATGGTTTTACTGCCCTAATGTCAGGGCAAACAAATAGTAAATGCCTACTTGATACCACTAGCTAGTGGTATCATCTGCACTTTGCGAGACCTGAAACAATTAAATATTGGCCTTCTTTTCCCGCCTCTGCAAAGAAACCTTCAAATAACATCATTATAATATAGCTTGTGGCTTAGTCACTTGAAAAAGTTTAGTAGCTGTTCAATGTTGCATTTTGAGGGAAACAATCCATCTCTGAGTTAGAAGATACAAGTGCATTCTGCTATATGGTAACAAAACAGTACTTAATGTCATGTTAAACACTGTAGCCCAATTAGGAGCTACCAGAACCAAAACCCTATCAAAGTTAACCTGTAATAACCTTGCAGTAATAGTCACAAAGCCCTCTTTTTTAAGTCACATAAACAAAAGGAGAACCTATTCTAAGCACCAAGAACATAAGTAATGGTCAGGAACCTAGTCAGATCTTTCTTAAGAGGAGGGTAGGTCATGAAATAGCATACCGTCAGTTCTCTGAAGAAGATACTACTCCTGGCCCATTCAACAATGGAGAAAAGGGTCTGGTCCGCCATTTTGCACATAAGCCCAAATGTGTTCAGCTTTTCATGCTTGCCTCGGATCTCCTGCTCCTCCTGTAACTTAGCTATGATTGTCCCTTGAACTCGAGGCCCATTTGGCTCACACTTCAAAAGTTCCAGTATCAGGTGTGGGATGCTGGCTGGGGAGCTCGTCTGATAACCATCCACGTAGGAGTAGCCCATCATTGACTCAGGTGAGCTGGTGTAAGGATCTGGATACTCAGACTTGATGGCCCGACTAGGAAAGTGACCATATGGTTGGTAACCTTGCAGGCTGCCATGAGGTGGCATTGTCATGCTAATAGGAGATGTGACAAAGGGACTTCTGTCATAGTCTGTGGGAGGCAAGGCAGCATGGTTCTGAGGTAGGCCTTTGGAGACAGAATGAATGTTCTGAATTGCAGAGGAGATGGTCAGGTCTGGGGGCATGGCTTGGATCACCTGAGACATGGCTTCCAGCTTAAGTCCATTGGCTCGGATGAGGGCTTTCTTCTGTTGCTTGAGGGCCCTGTCTCTCTTGTACATAGGCCCAAATTTATTTCTGCCTCCTCGCATTCGGTCAGCTCTTACAGCTATTGACAGAGGAGAAAGGAAGGGTATATAAGAGTAAAGTTAGCATTCTGCAAGATCTCTAGGCATTTCAAATTATTGATAACTCACAGGAAGTGATTTGAGTACCCATGTGTATGTTGTGCTTGTTTTCATTGTGATAACCCACAGATATTCCAAGAAAAAAAAATGTCTTCCTTATGAATTCTTTCCTTCAAGTGGGCTTTGTTATCAAAAACATATTTGGGAACCCTGTGTGGACTAAAAGAAGTTTCAAAACAGTTATTTAATATTCATGGGGGAGTGTGTTCCTTTCTGGATGGGCCAGTTTCTAGTATTCGCGCTATGTCCTGATTTCTCATGGAAACCAAAATTGTACACCTGCTGTATACCTGTGTATGTGTCTGTGTAATATTTGTTTGGTTTTTTTAAAAGAAAAAGATAATCAACCCATTTCCAAATAAGTACTTTTTTCCCAACATTTCCTCATTCCTTGTGATTTTGGACACTTTGTTACTCTCAGAAAACCCCTTTCACCTGAGAGTACATTTGGAAAACCACCAGCCATGCTTTGAATTTAAGAGGGATTGGACATAATTAAAACAAAGTCATTTCAAAAGTTGTCCAGAGGCTCTGCTATGCCAAAGGGGTGTGGAATGGGAGGCGTGCCTAATAAGTTAGTCAGCGGAGCTCTCCAAGTCCACGACAATGGCCAATGGTCATTAGACAGAGCCCAGCAACCTCTGACAGCTAGGGACATGTTGAGATTGCTGGAGGTCAAGTTGTTGAGCTTCTTAATCTTAGGATTAGTACTTACATAAAAAATTTATTGTGACTTCTAAGAACCCATAATTCTATACTAGATCATAAGAGCTTTCCATTTAGATAATTCATCAAATATTCTATTGTTCTATGACCTTTGCTAAAGTTTAAGTATGGTGATGGGCAACTCACACACAATTAGCACAGCACAATATTGATGTTAAAAACACCCAATGTCTTTTGTTTCATTAAAAAACAATCAAGTGACAGTGTGTGGAATCATACCATTTAAGTTCTAGCATTTTATCTTCTACTCTTATAGTTAGCATCTGCCACTACTTGGCAACTAAAGGGATTGATGATAAAATTAATAAGTATCAATTATTTCCTTTCTCAATCTCCTCCTAAAATTAGTCTCTATGCTAAACCAAGTGGCTGCTTCTATTTGAACGAATGTTAGCAATTGGCAAATTTACTCAAAAAACACAACTCATTCATTTTTTTCAGTGTATCTACCAAGAGTTCTATGTAACAGAAAACCTTCAAATAAAAGTAGCTGTGTCTCCTTGATCAAATGAAGTACATTCTAGCCCAGTGCTGGGTACCCCCACCATATTACGTTATTTGCAGTCTGTTTAATCTGTGGAAGGCCAGCAGGTCAAAGGCCGGAAAATAGCAGTGCGCCATAACAGTCATGAAGTACAAATTATTTACAGCAGTCACATATTAACTTCACTGGCTGCCAAGCTGAATGCTGCAGCGGTCTTTCAACAGTTTACTGTGACTTTTTAAGGACCATTCTTGGGTTCATCAAATCATTGCTGATTTGAGTCCATCGCTTTGTGTGCTCTTGCTTCCCTGTTGTTAAATTTTATAGATTCAGTCACTACCTTTTTCTTAAAAAAAAAAAAGTTGTATACTTTTATGCTATATTAAAAACTGAAATACTGCATGAAGAAATTTCTTTTCACACTTAAAAACTTTCTTCAAGAACCATGAAATGAATAAAAAACTATGGCAAGCACACCAATTTTCTTTAAAAAAATTTTACAAAGGAATTTTATTTGTTCTCAGTAGAGTTGCTTCAGTCTTGTTGATCTTTTCAATATCAAATGTATCCTATTTCAAACCAAAAGGGGGAATGGGACAATTTTTATGTTCTCTTTTTTCCCTAGTAGGTGTTACCATGTTCAAATGCCAACTTATTCTACAGACAAAACATAAACACAATTTCCTTCATTATCAATAGTCTTAAAGGGCTAGAAAAGGAATGTCCCCATGCTACACGCAGGTTTAAGTCCACGTCCCAGGAGACTTAATTGGCAGAATCTTACCTTCTAGCTTCATTCCAACACTTAGACATTTTTGGAATCGACAGTAAGGACAACGTTTTCTCTGTGTTTTGTCAATTTGGCAGTTCTGGTTTTCTATACATGTGTACCTTTTATTGTTTTGGACTGTTCGCTTAAAAAAACCCTATAAGACAGAGAAAACAGTGAGGCATGTTTTAAGTCTAACCTGCTTCTTCTACTGTTTTACTCTAAGGAAACCACCAGTAAATCCTCTTGTGCCATTGAGCCCTTATGTGGGCCTATGGCTTATTCACACTTCAGTAAGACCAAGCCTCCTGCAGCAGCTTCAGGCCTCAGTGACGATTTTTCTAGCCTTGGAGTTATATTCCTGAAGAATTACGTCAATTTCACACGGTTTCATTCCGATAGTCAGAAAAAAAAACTCTATATTGATTAATGATTTTTTTAAAAATTCAGTTTCCTATTAACATTAATGTTCCAAAGAGAGGTAAGACATAGAACCCTGCATTGTTTTTAGGTAGTCTCACACAATCTCGGTCACAAACCATTGTAAAATGCCAGTGTTAGAACTGAATAGCAAAATACCTCAGATCTTTTACAAATGTCAACACTTAAAAGGAAAAGGACTTCAAGAGCAAAAATGGGGAAATGCTGCTAATGCCACTGGAACCTATTCAAGGGTGGGAACTGTGTTTTAAAACATTCAACTAATAGGAAAGATATGCACACAGGCAGGGACACGTGCACAATCCGTGAAGCAACCGCAGAGCAGCTCATGGCTGCCTTACACTCAAGGGGACTGGTCAGAAACACAGTGTGCGGCTTTCAAATAATGCCACCTCTACTAAGATGGTACCCTTGCCTATCTGAGTGACCACAAACAGAAACAATCTTATTTTGTTGTGGAAAACATGGGGGGACAGGGATCCTAACAATGATTTAAATAAATGCCCTGAATTTTCTACTTTAAAGAATATGTTGGGGGGAAAATACAGATAACTGAATTTATGGGGACTATAAAAATAATGACACAGATTCTCAAAGTCTTGACAAGATTAGTAATAAAAGATATTGACCTCACCCAAATTCCCTGTATTTAAATAAGTCACATGACACAAATAAGAAAATTGTGCGATTAGAAACTAAAATCTGGTTTCTTGGTACCTTGATATAAATTCCAAAAAAAATCTTTAAATTATTTTTGGAATCCATCAGGATGAAGTCATACAGTCAAGAATTCAGATCTTCATGTCTTCTAGATTAAAAAAAAAAGTTCCAACTTGCAGCACAGATTACTCTCAAGTTAAAATGTTCTTGGGATATACTTTGTCATGTTTCCTTTCAAAATCAATTGTTTAGAACTGTTAGAAATGAAGTCCTATAGATACATCAGTGCATCACAATAAACTATTTTAAAGCATGAGACTGGCAGAGTTTTTAAAGAACATATGTTATCTTTGCCTTTAGAACTAACTCACACATATTTTAAGTACTCCTTATCACGCTCCCCCATTTTTTAGTTGAAAAGAAAGAAAAATTTAGCTTTGAAGGGTAATTCAGTGGTTTATTTTTTTTTTTTTTGGTCTGAACATTCTATTTCTTAGGTAGCACTGGAAGAGCGAACCTTGCAGCTTTCACAGGTAAGGAGACCATAATGGTACCCGGATACTTTATCGCCACACACAGGACATAGCTCTTCAAGATCTTCATCATAGGAGTAATTCACCATTTTAAATTGAGACACTGAAACAAAAAGAGAAATGTGCACACATGCCCTATTAGTTTCCAATATAGGTTTAAAGCTGGAAAAAAAAGGAGGCATTTTAGTGGTTGGTGGTCAAGTACCACCAGGTTTAAAATATAAAAGAATGTTGACTCAACTGGTATTGAAGGAACTACTTTTACAAAATAAAAGGAAAACATCTTCAGGCATCAGTGAACATGTACCACCAGGTTTAAAATATTAAAATAATGTTGACTCAACTGGTATTGAAGGAACTACTTTTACAAAATAAAAGGAAAACATCTTCGGGCATCAGTGAACATGTACTACAGATTTTTAAATTTAAAATAATTCCAACTTTTTTTTTGTTAATAACTTAAACTGACCACTGTTCAACAAAAGCCAACAGATCAGAATGGAAACATGAACCATATAAAGTAACAACCTAAAAAACTCTTTTAAACCTCTAACATTCCAAAATGTCACCTTTGCCTAATGGAGCAAAATCCGGCTCCAAGTGACTGGCACACTCTTTGTGAATACACCTCACATGCTGCTTGGTGAGCAGTGAACACTCAGAAACCTGCTTCTCAGAAGCAGCCTGTGGCTCCCAGGGTTCAAGTCTGTTAGACTAATCAAAACACTCAGTTCCGTATTGACTGTAGTTCTGTTCTGACCACTTTCATCTCCTCACGCTTGAAAATGTCCTATGAAAATAAAAACAAGGAAGAGGAGAGGACACCCGGAAGGGGGGCAGAAACAGACAAGGAAAAGAAACACAGTAGGGTTTAGCAGAATTCTAGACCTTTGTAAATGAACCTCAGAAGCTTCCTAAAGTATAAACACCTCCAAGATTGCCCGGCTGAAGAGAAATCAGAGCCATGGCATCCTGGCTCACTAGAGCTAGGGACATTAACCCGCGAACGCCCTAGTCTTAATTGTACACGTGAAGGTCAGTGACCAGAAGACCCCCAAGGAACTACCAGATGAGACTGAAAACCCATGTCGGTCAAGCCCCCACCCCTACTCCCAAGTGACTGGCAATCAGACAGTTGTGGGTCGGCATCCAGGCAAGGGGCAGGTCTGTACAACCGGTCACCACCGGGTGCTTCCCGCATCCTCTTTAAACCCTAATGTGCACCGGCTCTGGGTCCCTTGCTCAACCTCCTCTACCCAAAGGCGCACAAACTCCAAAGAAAGTTTGCTTTAAGTTAATCAGTGGCATTGCAAGGGGCGGGGCGGGGGGAGGGATACCCACAGCCTGGCAGAGGTTTCCTCAGATTTGTTTACTAAAAAGGAAATGGAGAAATAACCCCTACCCCATAGCCAAATTACTATTCCTCTTTATTACCGGGTAATATCCTTAGTCTTTTAAAATAAAGTTAGTTTTTATTTTTTTTTTCTGAGTCTTGATGGAGTGTCTGTTCGCCTATGCAGAGCCATAAGCTGTAGCTTAAGTCAGTACGAGAGTAAGCAACAGTTTGCAAAGATCTCACAAGAGGCAGAGCAGTCCCTGGACTCAGAAACTTAGAAATAAAGGATGCTGAGCGTATCTCTCCCCAGCGATGCCAGCTTGACTTCCAACTCTCAGTAAGAGGCAGCGCCACTCTTCCGAACCAGTACATGAGGATTTGGGGAAAGCTGTGGGTTCGGGAAGTTTGCTTAGCAGGCTCTGAAAATTCTTGACTTCTGTTTCCAGGAGCAATTCTGAGCCGAGGGAGGACAGTGCTTTACTAGATGTGTGTTCTCCTGTCTCCAAACAAAGTGAAGTTTCACTTCACATTGAAGAGTATCGGGGTTGGCAACCACTTATACTCTCTGTGCCCATCTGGAAGATGCCACCATCTTCCGGCAAAATTGAGTCTGTAGGCAGAGGGGCATCGTTTTGTTTTTTGTTTGTTTCTCACAGCCCACCCCCACCCCCGCGACGACTGAATTAAGAGTTCAGCTACTCCTAGATGAAGAGATGTCCGGGAGCCTGGAAAAAGAACAACCGGTTCTTAAAAAAATCAGTCTTCTTAGAATTCCCCTGAAGTTGGATGTCCCACGTTGCCTGAGAATCCAGTAGATTCTCTTTCTGGTTCCAGCACCCGTCAAAATATGGGTGAGCTACTGTGGTTAGTGAACCTACTAGCGCGGCGGTCTCAGCCTAAACTGCACCAGGCTTTTCCCACTTTCAAACCTGGACCAAGCAACCTAGAGCCAGAGCTAGCCCCCCCAGCACAAAGGCAAGCTAATGCCTTGCCTTGGCATGGAGGTTGGAGGCCAAGAACTTAAAAAAAAAAAGTTACCAGGGCATATCTCTCCAGTCCTCCATACACCCTGTATTTTGCTCCATTGCTCTGCTTTTCCCGCATCTGTGATCAGCTACCCCAACTGTCTGCTTCGGGGCAGGAAGTAGCAAGAACCCCGTCCTCCACCCGGGAGGAAACTTAGCAGGGCTGGAGGCCAGAGTGCAGGAAGCAGGCCTGGGGCACTTCTCAGGAATCCCAGGTGCCAACAAGGCTGTCTTAGCAACAGACACATAAAGTCAGTCTGGGGACTTTGGCCGGGGAACTTCTACAGTCCTACCCAAGGACTTGGAAGACCCCAAGATAACCCAGGATAACTGGACCACCTACATGTCACCACTTTTCTCTGTACAGCAAGATGTCCTTAACCTTCGGTTTCCCAGCCAGAGCGCACCGGGGCACGTACCTACCCCGCAGAGTAGAGTGCAGTAGCCCTCAGTAAGGCTCTACTCTTAACGCCTCTCTGGCCGTTTCAATTTCGCGCAAAAGGGCGGCAGGAAGCTTCTCGATCGTAAGCCAGCTGACCCTGCACATCCTGAACTCTGGTAGGGACGAAGATGCAAGAACTTTTCCTAGCATTGTTCCCACCATGGCCCGTAGCTAAAATAAAATTCTGAAGAGTTTAGACTTCAGAAAATACAGCAGATGAGATCTGATCTTTTTCTGATATCAACCAAGAGCATGGACACAAATGGGATTCTTTACTCGCAGCTCGGTGGACAGACACGGCAGTGAGCTAAACCTGAGCACCCCAAACCCGCATTCAGAACTATCATGGGCGGGAATGGAGTTGGGGGTAACTGGCACTTTTTAAGTTACGCCAGCAGTTTTGGAGCTGCCCAAATCCCAGCCGTTGGCTTCCAGCTACACTTTTGGGGTGCTCGCATGGTTTTAACACCAACTGTCTTCCTGTGATCTTCTCTTGTATATATTTGCCTTTTCTAGTCTGTCTTTTCCCTCTACACGGGAGCATTAAAGTGTGCGACAGTTCGAACAACCTAAACCTGGGGTGATCAGCGAGGAATTCCATTCCTCAGAAAAATTATTCCATGGTACCCTTAGCGGTAAGCTTCCCCTGCTCCAGTTGGCTATGAGTTAGAAGTCTCTCTACTTAATTAGAAGTGGCCAATTAGACACTGATGAGAAACCACAGTCCGCCTAGTTCAAGTGCCATTAACTTTTATGCTAGCTCCTAAGGCCGGCGCACTGCCCAGCAGCCTGTAGCAGGCTGAGAACTGCCGGTCAGGTTGCCCTGCTGTCCATGCCGCAGGAGGCTGAAGCCCGCACGGTTAGCCCGAGGGCGGTAAAGCCAGGAGCTGGAGCGCCGCACCGCAATCCCTTACCTTGCATGTTTTCCGGCATCTGCCCCTGTTCCCCATGCGATCGGGTCAGTCCTGGGGCTTCCGTCTCCACTTTGGGCAGCATGACAAGGCGGCTGCGGGCGGGAATGCGGGGTCGGGGTCGGTCCGGAAGCCCAGCACCTGGACACGGGCAGCACAGATTCAACTCCGGCAGAAAGGGAGAAGGGGTGACCAGTGTGCCCGCTTACCCACCCGCTCGCCGCCAGAGCTGCCGGGCAGGACTTCGGAGCCCTGTCCGGTCCCGCAGCTTTAGAGATGTCCCTGAGCTGCGCGCGGGAGATTCCCCGCTACCAAGCCGCACTAAGGAGACCGCGTCCTGCTGCCGGGGTTCGGCCCCGCAAAGGCAGAGGCAGCGACCGCCAGGGCGCTGCTGCCCGGGACAGCGATCTCTGCGCGCCGCACTGCACTCCGGAGGGCAGCAGAGACGGCCGCCAGCTGCTACTGCTGCAGCGGCTGAACGGCTCCAGGACTCCTTCCCCTCCCTGCACCCGCCCTCTGGCTCAGGATCGGCAGGGGTCTCTCTCTCTCTTTCTCTCGCCTCACTTCTCTCCCCTCCTCTACTGTCCTCTCCTCTCTTCTCCGCCCCTTCCCCCTATCTCATTCGGAGCTCTCTTATCACTACCACAAGTGTGGAGTTCTGAAGTTCCAACCTCCCACTCCTCTCTGATCGAGAACAACCCTTTCCAGCCCCGAGAGTGACAGTGCCGGGAGGACAGGGGGAAGACCAGCTGGAGAAGGGAGGTAAGGGGGGATGGGGCTGGGGGGGGGGATGAGAGGTGAAGACAGTGAATGGGGACGCAGGTTCCGGACTCAGGTCGGACACTAGCCGCTAGCCAATAAGGAAGCTCTGGCCTCTCTGGTGCCTGCCCCAACCTCTTCACCCCGCCTTAATCAACTCCCACTCCACCCTGGCCTGGGGCGGGAGGAGTGGGTGGGGGACGTAAATGCTACTAGGTTTCTCAGCTATTGAGAAGCGCCCTGTGTCTGCGCGAAGTGGCCAAGGATCTGAAGGCTGAGAGGTCGTTTCAAAGAGCTGAGGGGGAGGCAGGACAAGGGCTGGGGTGTGTGAGTGGTCTTTCCTTGAATGTGGGGGATGAGGAGACCTGAGTCGAGTGCCCACTTAAAACACCTAGAAGAAAACGGATGTTGGACTCGTAAGTGGAGGGTGGTTGATCCCGCTATCAAGAGCCTCCCTGCAAGCAAGTCATCTGAGAGGCACACCCTGAGCGGCTGGGCCCCAAGGAACCCAAGGGCCGAGGCTCACTTGAGCTAGAGTCTCTGAGATTTCTCTCACTTGCACAGAATCTGAGTAAATGACAGTCATCCCTGCTTCCCCACTCTGCTCTGCTGCCCAGCTCCCCGCTTATGAAAAAACTCTCGAGTCCAAGACTGTCTTGGTGACAGACTTCCTGATTTCTGCGAGAGCTGTGTTTCCACATAGTAGAGAGAAATCAGGCCCCGCTTTAGAGTCCCTTTGGTGAGACGGATCCACACAAGACCCTGAAGATCAGCATTTAAAAAAAGTTTTAAAGAACCATCTGTTATGCGCGCTCTTAGGCCATCAGTCCAGCACCATCTTCGAAGTTTTCAGATCTTATCCCAACAAGATGAAAAGCATTCTCCCCAGCCTCCTAGATGCACGACAAAAGCTCCATATCCAGGGTCTGCCGGGCAACTGGGTAATTATCAGAGTCCACCCAAAGGGGGGGGGTGAATTTGAATCTCAAAAGATCTGAATTTATTCTATCAAAATGGCCTGGAGATCACATAAAGTGCCCAGTCTGGTATTTAATGAATATGAAATTTTCCACTGGTTGCTTACTTTTATATGAAGTGGGCGATCCACTGACAGCAATTCAAACACACTGACTCTCTAAAAACTGATTCATCTCTTTGCTTCAAAACATACATACATATTCAGAATCCAAACTATTTAACTTTAAAAGTTTTTGTAGCATCTTGAAGGATGCTAAGAAAAGCAATGGGGCCTAAGCAAGTCCCTTCTTGTCACAAGAATTGAGGGGGCCCTGCCAATTAGTTTGTATGGGGGAGTGGGCTGAATTTGCCTATATTAGTGATCATTAAGCTCAAGTTTTCAAGTTGGTATCAAGTCACAATGTCAATACATTTTCAGTGTTGCCCGATACTTAAGACATCACTTTGAATTACAAACACATATTCTTACATAGTTCAGAAAGGGAGCAAATCTCCAAGTTCAAATCATTACTCACCGCCTGCTTTACTCGAGTTCAGGCAAACTTAAGAAATCGGTTTTATTTCAAAGCTTTAAAAACAGGCTCCTCTTACCGCAAACTCTAAGAGTTCATAATGGCCTTTGTTCATTGTCTTCCTACCCAGCAGCCAAGAAGGATGCAGGACTCCAGCTTCTTGGTCTGCACTTTGTGGTACCAGGAGAGGCTCCCAGAGTTGAAGGAAACTGAAATAAACTCTGGCAGGCCCTTGTGATCTTATTGGGGGGGGGGGCAAAACAAAACACCTAGCCAGAACCAGAGGCTGAGGCTGACCCAGAGAGGTGAACTTTGTGGTCAGGCTCCTAGCACCAGCTTCGGGGCCAGAAAGAGTGGCTTCCCTATCCGGCTTTGTCGATTTGTCCTTCCAGCTGCAAACCTCTTCAAGACAGAGTGATGTGTGCCAAAAGGCCCAATGGGACTAACATGTCTTCCCACAGGTGGACTTTCCAAGAAAAAGCACCATAAACGAGGGGGAAGACGGGGACTAGGTATTAAAGACAAAGTTTAAAAGAATCTGGCCTTTGACATTTAAGTAATACCTCCTGCCTTCTGGAGGTTCCCAGCCTGTCTGGCGGCCAACTGAAGGGGTTCTAAATGTTAGAAGTCTGAAGAATAGAGAAAAGTGCCTTTTTTTTTTTGGCCAGGTGTAATAGCTCCCACCTTTAACCCCAGCATTTGGAAGGCAGAGGCAGGAGGATCTCTGTGAGTTCAGAGTCCAGCCTGGTCCAACGTCTCTATAATTAGTACAGGTCAGCCAAAGCCAGACAGTGAGACCTTGTCAGAAACGCGCGCGCGCGCTCGAGCACACATACAGACACACATACCCCTCTAACCCGATAGATTTTTACCTAGAAACAAAGGGAACTCTGACCTCCAACAGCTCCAGGGTAGAACAAGTTACCTAAGATCAGCCTTATTTCATATTTCCAGGGGCTTAAAACCACCATCGGAGGTTTTCAGGGTTGGAAATCTACAGGAGCTGGATTTTGTCGGAAATTCAGGGGCACACTCACGTTTTGCCCGGAGTCGGAGTCGTTCCTCAAGTTTGGGGGAGGGGCCAAGTCCCCAGCAAAAGGAGGGGTGAGGGAATCATGCATCCATGCTCATCCCAATGCCCTCTAAAATACCCAGCAAGCACTCTGGGTCGTTCACCCTCCAGTTCCGTTGGGTAGAGACACCACTAAAGCAGGGACCAGCTTGTTCCGTGACCTCGGCAGCATCGAGGTGCCTCTTAACAATGTTCTCTCTAGCCTAGAGCAGTACAAGGAGAAGGCGGAGCCTAAGGTATCCACCTTCCACTACCTGGGACGGTTCTAGATTCCTATGGCCTCAGATGAGGTTTAAGAGAATGGCTGGGAAAGAGGAAATAGTTGGGATGAAAGAAGGTATCAAGAACTATGTGATCTCAATGCCGATGCCAACAATCGTCAGCAGTGTCCCCAAATGCATCAATCGTAACCTGGTATACACATTCCACCCTCCACAGTATCTTTTATCAAATGCCACTCAGCCTCTCTATGGAAGCGCTTGTAGGAATTGTCTTTAAGTAGACTCACAGACAAGTTCCCCGTAGCTACCGTTAGCGTTCCGAATTTCTCTGGCACTCCCCGGTCAACTTCTAGCAAACTTCTCCCTCCTCACCCCTCCCCCACGCCTCCTCCTTTCCAGCAAGGGTAGTCTCCGGGGCTCGCCCTTCCCGGCTTTGACTTTGTCTTCAAGTGTTGATTGACGGTTGCAATTACAAAGGATGATAGCTCGGGGAGGCTCCCGCAGCCTTGATGAGGCCGAGAAGCGCAGGCCTGGCATATTTTATCCAGCCTCGGCGTTCCGGGGCCGTGCGCGCCCCATTCACCCAGCTGGCTGGAGCTGAGGAGGTCTCGCACTCCCCACCCACGAGGATGCAACAGCGGGTTCTCCTCCCGTCCTCTCCCTTCTCGAGGTCGCGCGCCGCTCGGTGGAGCGCGCATGGAGAACAGTCTGCCCTTGACCTGACCTAAGTGCCGGTCCGCCCCACGCGCCTAACCCACTCCAGGCTGCAGCTGAAAAAAATATCAACATTTCCAGGACCAATTCAAATTTCCTGACCCCTAAAAGCAAAGCAATAGACACCACTTTCCCGCGCACCTGGGGAAGATGACTCTTGGAGCGACCCACCCAACTTAGCAACAAACTTGCAAAACTTTATCCCGGTAAACAAGTCTAAAGCTTCCTTCTAGGTTCCCACTTTCTCTCTCTCTGGTGTTTTAGAAAGAAAAAAAGTAAAGTTACCTTTCTTGTCCTACGTAACTAGGTATCATCTACTTCTCAGGCCCGGGAAGAATCCTAGGTTTTTTGTGTTTTTTTAAAAAAGTCTTCTCCACCTGGCCACGACAGTCCAAGGAAAAAGAGAAACGAATTTATCAGCTCCTGAAGTTCGAGCTTCCATATTTTTCCCCCTCCTCCCACTTGAAAAGCCCACCAGAGGCTGTAAAAGTCACTTGAGCAAATACTGCATTTTGCCTGCGGGCTCTGGGGATTGAGCTCCCCGGCTCAACGCCCTTACCAGGGGCGCTTTGTTTTAAAAAGAACTTCAGCACAGCTGAAGGCTACGAAGCACCTACCGTTCGTCGAAACAAAACACAAACTCGAAGTCAGTCGCCTTTCCTCCGTTAAAAAAAAATTTTTTTTAACTCCCTTTGTGTTGTATGTGTCAAATGAGCACTACCGGCCCGCTGTGGGGGTGGACATGCCCCCTGGGAGCAGGCAGCCAATTCCCCGACTTTGGGCAAATCCGCTGATTCACAAACCCTTACCGGAGTGTCCTAATAAATACCCCCTTCCGGGCTTTTCGCCGTGGAACAAGCAATCCCAAAGAAATGTCAGAGTAATCCCTTCTTCCCGACCTCCATCCCGGGCGCCCTCCCATCCTTGCCCAGAAAGAAAGGAAGGGCTTTTGGAGATTTTGACCTCCCTTTTAAGGCTCTTTATATTAAAAATGACGTCACTGGGAACTTTCTTCAACCCGGGGTCCAAGCGTGCCCTGCCATGGGAGCCCCGGATTTTTAAAGGAGACCTGGTCTCCAAAGCTTTGTGTTGAGAAAATGATCTGGGCTAGGTGTACCAGACCAAGAGACACTTGGCATTGACAAGACAAGGACAGTTCGCGAGTTAGCCTGCTAAGAGGTAAACTAGGCAACACTTGACATTTCTTTCCTCATAACCCCCCCCCCCCCCGGCCTCAACCTGGACTAGAAAGTCTTTTAGAGAACGATGCTTAGTTACTATTCAGCTGTATCCGACTTCAGTGGGAAGTTTTTGAGCCAGGGAAGAGTGTTCTCAGGTGGAAGGAACCCTACTGTTAAATGATCTGAAAAGGACTGTTGTTAAAGAGACTACCTGACTCCAGATAAAACAGCGATTGCCCTACAGGGGATATAGAGAAGCACAATTTAAGACCTTCATCTATAAAAAGGCAGTGTGAAAAACCAAGGCTTATGGCTTGAGCGTGGGGCACCCAAGGAGGGAGGGATAGTTTTAGAGGTGGAATGACTACAAAGGCTTCACAGTTGGGGGGGTGGGGGGGTGGAGCACTTCAGAACCCTGGCTTTTCTCCCAGAGCACCCAGGTCTGATTCCAAGCACCTACCTGGCAGCTCACAACCATCTGTAACTCTATTCCCAGAGGATCAGAGACTCTCTTTTTGGCTTCAGGCACACCCAGACAGACGTACAAGCAAAACATTTATATAAGTTAAAATTTTAGGCAAGGTGGTGGTGACACACGCCTTTAATCCCAGCACTTGGGAGGCAGAGGCAGGCGGATCTCTGAGTTGGAGACAAGCCTGGTCTGAGAGTTGATTCCAGGACAGCCTCTAAAGCTAGAGAAACCCTTCCTGAGCCCACCCCCACCCCACCCCACCCCCGCAAAAGAATTTTTTTTTGTTGTTTTTTCGAGACATGGTTTCTCTGTATTGTTTTGGAGGCTGTCCCGGAACTCACTCTTGTAGAACTCACAGAAATCCGCCTGCCTCTGCCTCCCAAGTGCTGGGATTAAAGGCGTGTGCCACCAACGCCTGACTCCGCAAATTTTTTTAAAGCAAGCACAATTCAAAGGGTATTAATGTTCCTCTACTCAGAAGGCAATTCTTTTGTGACCAAACGATGATGGGATAGACCTGGGGTGTGCAGCTTAGTTGATATATCCCCTTCCTATCATGTGCAATCCTTAGATCACAAAAGAAAGACTAGGGCCAGGTGGTGGCAGTACTCACATTTAACCCCATAATCGCAGCACCCAGGACGCAGAGGCAAGTGGATCTCTGTGAGTTCGGGGCCAGCCTGGTCTACAGAGCGAGTTCCAGGACAGGTTTCAAAGCTACAGAAAAGCTCTATCTCGGAAAAAAAAAAAAAAAAGACTAGGGGGTGTAGGGTCCAGGTGTTGGGAGTGGTAGAGGCCAGGAATGGCCAGCCAATAATCCTGAATTTAGGAGGCTGAAGAGCAAAAATTGCGTCAAGTTTGAGCCTTGTATTTACTACAAACTCAGAACCTGTCTCAGAACCCAGAGAAATAGATGTGGAAAGAGTGAACAAGACTTGAGACACAATCAGTAATGTCTTTTCCAGAGTTTTTTGTCTAGAACCTGGAAGTTTTAAGAACTAGCAATGGGGCCAGGCGTTGTTGGTGGCATCCGCCTTTAATCCCAGCACTCCAGAGGCAGAGGCAGGCGGATCTCTGTGAGTTCGAGGCCAGCCTGGTCTACAGAGCTAGTTTCAGGACAGCCTCCAAAACAATACAGAGAAACCCTGTCTCGAAAAACCAATAAAAAAAAAAAGAACTAGCAATGGGTATAAGTATAGCTGGGTGTGGTGTGCATGCCTTTAATCCTAGCACTTGGGAGGCAGAGGCAGGCAGATCTCTCTCTGTGAGTTTGAGGCAGCCTGGTCCACTGTAGACAGCCAAGGTTATTACACAGAAAAACCCTGTCCTGAAAAAAAGAAGTAGCAGTGGGAAGTTATAAGTGACCCTAGGAGGTCCTTGGAAGGGATTCTCTTGAGCTGGGAGGAATACAGACACAGTTTAGATCCTGAGCAAGGAATCCATCATTTCTCCACACCGGAGTGACAACCTTGTCAAGGGTTTTTTAAAAAAATAAAACTGTTTAGCTGTTACTTTGCCTAGACCCTCCTTCTATAGGGAACAGATCTCTTTTTCTAAGCACAGTCATTCAGGTGACACTCCGTCTTCTTCATGCTGACTCTGTAACTAGCATAGACACTGTGAATTTCCTTAACTGATTAGGCATGCTTTGGCTGTGTGCATTGCCACAGCTTTATACAATAGCCTTAGGCCAAGACCACCAACAGTTCCTCTCCCTTCCCTTACATCTATAGCTACCTCCTTAGAGGTTATCACCAATTCATCCTCATCTCACCCCTCTGAATTCTACATGTCCCAAAGCTGTAATTTCCATTACAGAATACAAAGGAATATAAAGAGCCATTTACAGGTGTTGTTTGGAAAAGTCTGGCCAACTTCAGCTCATAGTCCTGAGTACCAGAGGGAGGGAGGGAGGAAGGAAGAGAGGGACGGAGGGAGTAAGGGAGGCAGGAGATTGAAGATACATTGCTGGGGTTCTATGAGCTTCTGTAAAGCAAGAAAACTTTCAGTAGTATATAATAATTTACAAAATGGGCTTTGCAAGATAAACTTTACAGAAGAATGGAGAGTAGCATGCTGTTGGGAAAAAAAAAAGCCTTGCTTTGGCTCTCTTTCCCCTAATTTCACCCAAGCTCATCCTTCTATAAGTAGTTGGAATAAAAAGGAAGTCACCTAGGACAGCTAAAAATAGATTCTCTGGGAGGGAGCAGTACCAGCTAAACTGTCCATCTTGTAGTGCTTGACACCATCCTTATTGATCATAATATTATCCCCAGACAAAATTGCTTACCAAACAGTTAAAGTTTTTTGTAGTTTAAAAGTTAGACATCTTTGATTGTCAATCAAAACATAACCAAAAGACTTAAAAAAAAAAAGACATAACGTTGATCAATTTTGGTGAATTTCAGATCATCTGGATTTCCCTGTTACAACCTCTGAAGGGTTGCTCGTACGCTACACCCCAAGAGAGTATGCCTCCCAACTCCTGAATTCCCTTAAATCCAAATGAGTCTCCAAGAATTTTCCCTTCCAACTGGATCAGTGGAGGGTCCCCCCATGGTAGGTCCATGTGGAGTGGGGGTAATGGCTATAAAGCAAAAGTGTGTCTGATGTCTGAGGAGTTTGCTCCTGAGGCTTTCTCCAGCTCAGCTCAAGTTCCAGACTGAACTCAAGATACCCTCAGCCCATGGGCCGTGTAGAGGGGGTCAAATAAAGGAATAAAGCAGGACCAAGCCTCAGTTTGTTTCTTGCCTTTTGTTTTTGTGTTTCAAGTCTCAAAGACTCACAGCAACTAAACTGAGCTTGGGGTTGGAAACCCCAGTTAGTCTCTTGCATAGGCTGCATTCAGCTTGCCATATCCAAACTACCCAGGTATCCCACTCAGCA